AAAAAAAAAAAAAAAAAACTGTTTTTTTTTTTGGTTGCCCCCCCCTCTTCCAAAATCCGGGACCCCAAAACCCCCCCCCCCCCAACCCCCAACAACCTCCACCATCACCAACCCAAACCCCCACCACAACGATACAAACACCAATTCCACACAGAGAGAGAGAGAGAGTGGAGCTTGATTGCCCTTGGAGGTCCCCAAAATAAAGCCTTGCGTCAGTTGTATGCTTGACCTTCACATCCATGTTAATGCTCAAGACAAAGACAAAAGTCAATCGGTTATGTGTTTGTTGTGTGTATGCTAGTGTTTGTGTTGTGTATGCTCTAGGTTTTGGTGTTGTGTGTGTGTGCCCTTTTGTAGTTTTGTGTTGTGTGTGTGCTGGAGTTTGAGAGAAGGATGGTTATGCTGGGTTTGTGTGAGAGAGAGAAAGAGGGGGATGTGCGGGTTTGAAGGAGAGGTACATGTAGAGACAAATTGGAGAGAAAGAAAATGATGTTTTTAGAAACAGAAACGATACAAATTTATTCAAGAAGAATATGATTAAGGTTTTTTTTTTTTTTGATACTAAATATGATTAGGGTTTGACCGTATATTCAAATTGCATAAATTTGGGGGGATAACCATTAACACGATTGTGTGCTGCTTAGGGCAGATAACCCTTAACACGACCCCAATTTCATACAAAATCAACAAAAAGTAATTAGATATGAAGGCAGTTTTAAAGTAATAAAATGAATCAGTCCAACCCTATCAATAACTTGGTCAATACGAATCTAACTATACACAACACAAATCCAGCAATAATAGAATCAACACACACTTGGTGTAAGCTAGTCAGTCTAACATTCAATGCCAATATGTAGAATATGTTTTTTTATTATGCTGCATTTGATTTTTACGAGTATCGTTATTGGTCATTCATGCCGATTATCAATTGGATCAAAACGAATCTTCCGGTTCATTAATCGTATTTCTCCAACTATTACACTAGCATAAACTCTCAAGAATACAACTAAAGTAGAAATGTTTGTAGTTCATGGGGTATATGCAATTCAAAGGTTCAGTTCTTATTACTACGATGAAGCAGGCATGCGAGACATACCAAGGGTCAATGAGAATCGCGGTTCAAATCTCTTACTGAGATTCTCTAATACTCCACTCATTCATGGTGCTTCTCAAACGCAGGAGCGTAATACGCTTATCCACATCATACTATGGTGCGCTCTACCCCTCTACATGCAGGACTTCTCTTTCCTAAGCATATGAAACAACTTCAAACGTTTCATCTTTGTGTATATTGCCACTAAATTGTATCAATCATATTCCTAGCGCACTTGCAAGTTTAACCTTCATTATGTTGTTCATGGCCATCATGCCGATCATCTTCACCATCTATTCTTCCATATTCAATCCATGGTAGCATAGACTCAAATAGGACAGCAAGTGCATTTCGGTTTGCAACATCCCGGGGAGCACGTGTGCCACCTGGTGGGTTGGCAACTCCTTCCCCGTTTTGCACCTCTCTCATCCTTGGGTCAACCATAAAATTTTGCAAATCATCAGGTGGCATGGTTGGCACTGAATCAGAGAAATCTGATACTAACAGATGACAATACCTGGCAAACAAAGAAACTCAGCTATTTAAAACCATGAATGCATATTAGTATTCCATGAACAGTTATACAAGCAAACTCTGCATGAAAACTACGATCATATATTCCATATGTAACAACCCAATTCACATAAATAAACTAACCTCAGAAAAAGTTCCAACCCAAGTGCAGAACACATGCATATCACGCGCTCGCGCGTGCATGCACACACACACACTCACACACACAGATTAATCACACAACCAGAGCGAATTCACTGAATGACAGAATACTCACTCATTCTTCTGGGATGAGAATGCTTCTTTTCTCACACAAGCCCAATCCTCTGCATCACTTGCTTTATGTTCCAGCCTTTCAATCACCACGAGTGCAGAATCCCTAAGAAACTTTTGCAAATCAGGAAGCCTCCATATGATATAACTCCTTTCAACATATATACCAATCAAGTGATCCAAGGATGGGCTTCCTGTTTGATCAGGTCCAAAGAAACTATGCTCAAGTATACTGGCCCACACCTGATCCTTTAAAGGTACCTTTGCCACTAGTTTCTTCAACACTGAAGGGTAAAGCATCAATGCCTGCGTCATGAGATCAGTTGAAGTAGCTTTTCCAGTCTCCATTTCTGTGTCCTCTGAGTGTGCCTCGTGTTCAAGATAAAACCGGCATATGGCAAGGGAATACGAAAAATTCGGAAATAACCACAAGGAGTTATCACTTTTATATTCTTCAGAGAACCGTTCTAGCCACGAGTACTCCTCTGCCCTCAAAGAGAAGTAATCAATGCAGAACATGACGCCGATTGGATCATCTGAATCTAAAGAAAGCAAAACTTTGCAAATTTCGAGTGCGGACCGGTGACAGCCACGCCTATCCATGTTTTTCATGTGACTAAAAAGTGTAGAGAACAATGGCTTGTTAGTTTCGTGAGCATATTTCAATTGACATCTACCCTGTAAGAGGGTGAACATGGGATTCCATGCACATTCCAAGGCATATAGACACTTTGCAGTAGCATCTGCGGACATTTGTTGTTCACCCGAAAATCTAAAATACTCCGCCAGTGTTATGAGAGAGTCTATATGATAAGGATGGTACAAGAGAATACTTGCTATACCATTAAGATCATGTATTGCTTTGGCAGCTTCAAAAGCTCTCTGAGCTTGGCTATAGGAAGCTGAATGTACATACCTACACAACATGAACAGAAACCAAACTTAGGGGACAGGGCACATTGTAAGAGATTAAACCAAAAACAGTTATACAGCCAAATATTGCTTCAAGTCATATCGTTGTTAGTATATTTACTGACATAAAACTATATAATATAAAATACTATCTTAAAGGATAGATTTATATGAGTTTGACAGCCAAATTTTGCAGATGGGCATTTCACCCAAGTCTGTAAACCTACCAAAGAAGAAACTAAAGCTTAACACAAATCTGAAATCACTAATACATGGGATATCAGAAGAAGAGGCAACCAAAGAGAACAAAATTTTATAACATGAGTAGCATATTTGCTAATGCAAGGATTCAAGATGGTGACATTGATGACTTAAGCACTATTTATCCCTTCCATCCACATTTCCATGAAGTGGATTCCACACAAGCAATTGACCAATATATTACGAGGTTGCTAGTTGCTACAACTATGTTCCACAACCAAGCTTCAACACAGAATGCTCAAGTACTTTTTCTTGGGAAGCAAATGCTTCAGTACTTAATTATTTACAAAGATTAAAAAGTTCAGAATAAAAGCAATACTATTCGATATCAATAGTAAAAGGCTGTGTATGCAGATGGAATAATTAATAATTTGGTGATGGGACAGCAATGAAGAGCATAAAAGGTCCAAAGAAAGATAAATTTGGAGTTTTATTCAATTCCAAGTCACACAGTTATTAAATTAGGTTCAAGGCCCACCATGGCTGGCCCAAGACCATGCTCCATAGTCTTATGCCCATAGCCCATGACCGTGGTTAATATTGCTTACCCTAATTGACTAGTACTACTTAATTCAAAGCAACCTATTGTATTAAGGGAGGCCGAATAGTGGCTTAATCAATAATGTTATTCAATCCAATAAGTGGATTTTATAATTTCAATAAGTGGTCGCTAATATTAAATTTTTAATTGTATAGAACATACCAAAATCAAATTCTGCATGGTAAATGCAAGGATTATATGTTTCTAATTTCCCCGATTAGATATAAAAAATATGATCAATTTAACACACAATCAACAATTCTAATTTAATATTATGGCATAATCACTTGAGTAAAGCTAAATTCCACATGTATTTTGTTACATTGCCAACAATTTTAATACCAATTCATCACATAATCTAATAACTATAACTCAATGAATGTCCAATTTCATCAAATAACCCAATAATTTCGGCTCAATTTCAAAAAATAGACAAATAAGTTTTATATATAAGATATATGCATTTATTGAATCACACACAAAGCAAATAACCTACGTTTTACACATTCGATCACCTCTGAGACAGAGCACATAACCTTATGCATTTTACATTCGATAGCCCAAGACTTGATTCAGTGACTACCATTCGTTCTTGAGACTTTCACCCACTTCAAATATACAACTAGAGCATAATCCTTTTAGTATTATTAGGGGCCACCACAATACAAATTCATGAGCTATATATATATGTGTGTGTGTTTTTGAAAACATGAGGGGACCTATTAACATTCTGACCAAAAAAAAAGAAAACATGAAGGAACCCTAGGCCTAACTATAGGTCCATCCATGCCGATGAGGTTACTTGTCTAAATAGCAGTATTTTGTGTTGCTTGATTGGAATAACAGTACAGGTTGGCTCAAGTTGTCAGAAACTAGGTAAACGAGTATGAATGTGTCATCATTGAGTTATCTAGTGGTTGACATCAGCTGTTATCTACTTGTATTGGATTGAGCAATTTCCAACAATCCCATAATTCATGGTGAATGCTTGCATATAAAATTCTCCTTGAATGGTAAGGCTTTGTATTGTAAAAAGTCTAGTCTAAAAAACCATGGAGATGTGAAATTTGATCTTTCTAGGGACAACTTCAAAAAAAAAAAAAAAAGAACTTGGGGTAATAAAACAAGAATACAAGACGAAGAAGATGAGTTCAGGCTTGCAATGGAAAATTTGCTTTGCGTGAGTTAGGGCTATTGTGCATTGTGCTAATTCAGGCAGCAAAGAACAAGCAACGCAGAAGGAGTGAAAAGGGTTGTTTAGGCATCAAATAATTGTGTAAAACTGACACCAGGACGTTTCAAGACCAAGCCCAATGGCCCATCCCGCGGTAGAATTCAAAGCCCAATTCAACTGAAGGAAATCAAAAGGTCTGGCCAGTCTTCAGATTTAAGGTTAACTTCAATTAAAAAGTGAATCAACTCAACACATTCCCCAAAGCAAGCCATTCACTATTGGAAGGTACTGTGAATGTCCATTCTGACACAACAAACGATGCATCATTTGGAGTTTTCAAAATTTACTATTTTGGTCTTATTTAGTTTTTTATTCATGAGTCTCTTATGTTTTCCAATAGTCTTTTTCAGTTCCTAAGTACTTTTATAAGTCTTTTTAGTTGCATTTCGTCAAGATTGCTTATTTTTCATTAAGTAGTGGTCTAGGAAAATGAAAGTCATTATCACCTATAATTGGAGGGACGTTTCAAGACGAATCACATAATTAGTCCCTAGTCATTTATGAATCAGACAAGTCATCTTATTGACTGAAATCAAACCTTTGGTTTTAAGACGATGAACTCTTCTTGTTATCTAGTTCTACATCTCCTTGGTGGATTCCATAAGAGTGGTGAACTAATCCCATTAGTGAATTCCACAGGGTGCTGCTATGCCTGTGTTGCCTTGTTGGTTCCTCATCAATTACAATTTTCCGGCATCAACACCACAGCTCGAGCAAAAGTTTTCCTCCAACTTTGGAATCTGATTCCTTATCCAATTACCTGCTGAGCTTAATCATCCTACTCATGTTTAGTTTTTGTTTAGTCTTTTATTTATATACTGTTAGTAGTATGTTAATATTCTCCTTGTTATGTAGCTAAGAAACAAAATAAAATTTTCATACATTAGTCAATAAGTTAACAGGTAAAACTCCACATCAAAGGGTAAGTGATTTCTCCCCCTCCAAAGTCTCTACACTACCTCCTACTCCTTTCACACTAAAATTCAAGAACCTCCAAAAGTCAGTGATCCAACTAAAAGAGGAATTTAAGCTACCTCCCATTGACGAGCCTAATACCCATTGGCCATTGATACATTTCTTAGAATCTTATTGGGTATCTTCTTTCATAGTAGCACATACTTTTTTCTTCTAAAAATTTTATGAGGCACCTTCTTAAGAATATTGTTGTGGTTTACTGGGTTCTATTTTATGTTAAGCATGACTGCTTTGGGAGTGAAACATGGGATTGATATTCTTTCTGTTAGGAGGGGTCAACCATATAAATTAGTTTTCTGCTTATAGGGATACAAATAGGGCCGGCCAATAGGCCTGGGGGGAAAAATGCAGAAACCTTTTAAGCTCTATAAAACTCTATCTCCCTCCTTTTCCCCATCTTCCTTCGTCTTATCTCTCTCTCTCTCTCTCTCTCCATTCACCATTCAATACAAATTGAGAGGCTTGCAAGCCATGGAGTCACCCACCCTCTCTTGCTAATCCTTTCCTTTCTTTTCTTTCCTTTCTCTTTTCTTCCCTTCCTGATCAACAAGTTCAACAACTCCACCGAGCACTGGTTTCTGCATCCAAATATGTTCTCCTTTGTTTCAACAGATTATTCTCAACTAAGCAGTAAATTTTTTTCACCTTCGCATGCCACCACCTACTCTAGCACAAACTGCCAGCATTTCTTGAGCATGCATCTAAATACCATAAACAACATGATTCTTGCATTACATACAAATGTTTACTTTTTTGGCAAAGCCCAGGGTGGAATTATAGGATAAACTGGCTACATCTATAACCCACTTTCAAAATATCATGTACTAAACACAGATAAACATAAAAGGATTAGTTTCAGATTCATATCGCTCCAAACCTCTGTATGCATGTAAGAGAGAGGGAAAGAGACAGTGGAATAAGTAGGTGGAAGAGGGAGAATTCATCATTGAACAGTAAGGAAGTAAATCTGAAATGGAAATTATTCCAGGAAGGCACAACATTAGTTTGGGTAATCCATCTTAAACCAACCCTATTTTTGGCCGGTCCATCAGAAGCAAAGGTTGACTTTCTAGTTTCTAATTAAACAGCAGATGTAACTTATAACATAGTGAAAATTGAGTATAAAAAGCTCCAGAAATTATGAATTACAGATGTATGTATATATGCAACAGCATCAAGAGAATTACAAAATGAATACTACCTGAAATAGTGATATCCTTCTCTGGTTTCAAGAAGTTCCATTGATAAAGATCCATCCCATCGAGGCCAATGTTCCGATGGAGAGACAAGAATAGTCCTCCTATGATTGTGGCTTCCACGTCTACCTCCACGTATCTGTCTAGAAGTTCCCGTTTGGTTACTTTTTTCAAATGAACTCACTACTTTAGAACCAAATATTCTCCGCAGCTCATTTTCTGCACTAAGAAATTTTGGGTCAACTTGTAAAATGGATGATGTGCATTGCTTCACCACGCTGCCACCAGCATTTAGATTTGGTTTAGCTTTTACTGGATGAGAACCGCCAGACTGACGACTAGAACCATCAACTCCAAAAGATAAGTTTTCTAACATCACATCTACACGGTTGTCAGCTTTATATGTGTTTGAAAATGAATGTTCCTTGCTTTTCTTCTTTTTATTTTTCTTTGACTTGTGATTAAGAGATGGAACTGTGTTTACAATAGCTTTCCCTGTTGGGGGTTCATTGACATCAATGTTTCCTATCGATGATTCATCAGCTATTTCTGACTCATTTCCCTGCAGCTGAAATCAATCATTAGGTAGTGAAATCAAACGAAGAGCATATATAAAATGATTGCCTCTTCTGCCATTGCCCATAGCACTTTGAGGAAAAGGTAAGATTAATTTTGATATCAAGTTCACAGCAACATAGTATTGGTGGATGAGAAGGAAAACAGAAACCGTAGTGCTTAACATCATCTTGGGGGGGGGGGGGGGGGGG